ATCATCTTATCAGCATGCCCATTATTGAAAACATAAACTAACCTCTCTTTTTTATCAGTACTTTTTTAAAAACGTTTGAATTATTCAGCTAGTATAAATTATGAAAACTGTTAAATAAATTTTGAATGTTTTAAAGTGGAAAATAATTTTTTTTTTTGTCGTGAATAAAAAAATACTTTAGAGCCGATAATCCTCACTCCTAAAAATAAGTCGGATGATTCGGTTCCCTTTTTCTTCTCCCAAACCAAAACAAAACAACTTCTTGCTCATCACACGCGTGCGTTCTACGCGCTTCAACAGTCTCTCTAAGTCGCGACAATCTTCCTTCTCTCCGATCGTCTTATCGGTCTCCTTTCACCGTCTCCGTCGTTCTATCCAATTCTCTATCTCAATCTAAAACCCTATGCTTTTTGGGTGAAATTGATTCCCTTGTCACTGTTCCAGTGGAAATTTCTCCGAAGAAGAACTGTGTTCAATCGTATACGCATGTGATTGCTGTATAAACACGACAATGGTTGATAGTAGTAGTAGCAATCGCAGGAAGAGAACAATCTCTGAAGGAGACATCGCCATTCTTTTGCAGAGGTATGTGTCACACTCAATACGTTCGTAAATTTGATTTTCTGAAATTTGCCGGATTTGGGTTTAGTCAGTTTGGAGGAATTTTCGATTTTTGGATGCAGATATGATGTGAAGACGATACTTAGGCTGTTACAGGAAATGGCTTATTATTCTGAAATCAAGATGGATTGGAATGAGATGGTGAAGAAGACCACTACTGGGATTACTAATGCTAGAGAGTATCAGTTGCTATGGCGACATCTTTCTTATCGGGATCCTCTCCTCCGTGTCGAAGATGATGCTCAACCTCTGGTACTCCTTTTCGTTTTGATGAACTGATTTGGTCTTTAATGTTTTTAAGGGATATATTATTATGGAAATTTGAGTGTGATGAATGGTTCTTATTTGGTCTATTGGTGTGTACCTATTCTTCCACATTCGAGTGTGTTGAATGCTTGTTTCGATTCAGTTTGGCAGTTGAGATGGTTGAATATCTCTTTGATCTCGTTTAGAGATTTAAAAAACGACTCTTTGCGTGCAGGATGATGATAGTGACATGGAGTGCGAATTGGAAGCTTCCCCTGCAGTCACCTCTGAAGCATCAGTGGAGGCTATTGCGCATGTGAAAGTAAGAAGATAATAAAAGATCATCTCAAGACGCATTAGTTTCACTTGGTTTTCTGTATTTCTCTGGAATTTCTGTGTCCTCTTTCAAATAATCTGAAGTCCCTGGAGTCTGTTTTAGGATGTCAGTTTGCAGTTCGAATACCACCTTACTGTTTTCATATTGATTAGGATGATGGTTACTTGTTCTTGATATAAATATGCGCTTATCCTGAGCTCCTATCTTATCCTGACACCATTCTAAGTTTTCATCTCTCTTTCTACAACAGGTGATGGCTGCTTCGTATGTGCCAAGTGAGTTGGATATACTCGATGATTCAACAGTTGAGGCTCCCTTGACTATAAACATACCGTATAGTCTGCCTGAGGGGACTCCGGAACCAACAGAGTCTCCTTGGTCGTCAAGAGGGATGAATATCAACTTTCCTGTTTGTCTTCAGAAAGCTTCATCTACCGAGGGGATGAATGGAAATGGTTTAGCTAGTAGTAGTATGGCTTTTCGGAAGAAAAGGAAAAAATGGTCTGCTGAGGAGGATAAGGAGCTGATCGCCGCTGTAAGGAGATGTGGTGAAGGCAACTGGGCACATATCGTTAAGGGCGAGTTTAGAGGAGAGAGAACCGCCTCCCAACTCTCGCAGGTTGTGATTTCACTTGGTCAATAATGACTGCTCTTTTTTCATTATGTTCCTTGTAGTTTAGGCACCCTACCCTTATGGTCTTGTTCTCTTTGTATTACAACCTGTTTATGCATCATGATCTACATACATTCTGTTGATGAGAAATGGTGGATATTGCCTTTCAAGTTTTACTTGTTGGATGTGGCTCTATACAGATTATAGGACTACTGTGGTAATTACTTGAGAAATATATCTGTTGTCATCTAGTCTGGTATGGACGTGGGGTTCCCCCCCCCCCCCCCCATTTGTTCAAATCCCGGCAACAGATTCTTTGGATGGTATGACTAGTAGTCTCTTGGTAATCATAGAAGGTAGCTGATAAGGCAATGTTTTATGATATTTTTTATCCATCTTTACATTTTTGCGGAAATATTCTCTTGTCAGATAATTTCTGATGATTCAAGGTATAGTAAGATAAACAATTCCACGACTACTTGGAAGAGCATATGATGTTTAGCATGTGTTTTTTCTTTTCCCTTTAATGTTGGTAACAAACTGACTGCTTTATTTGCAGAGGTGGGCGCTTATAAGAAGAAGATTTGATATTTCGACCCCTCTTAGCCAATCTGGCCTACAACGAACTAACCGTGCAGCATCTGTGGCTCTGGGTGATCCGCCCCCTTCAAAAAAACTTGCAGTCGGTACAAGTAGCAGAAGATCCTTTCTTAGTATTTATTATATAGCAGAGGAGGCTTTAGTTTGGTTACCACTAGCTATAATAGATTTGGTGCCCAACGTTCTTTCAAGCAAAATTCATCAATTGGACTGCATTTTGTACAGGTATTTCGCCAAGGATTTCATCTTGTAGCATCACAGGAACACAAGCCAACGGGGGCAGTTCTTCGCAAGGTCAACAACAGTCCAAGCCAGTTGTTCAAGCATTGCCTCGGACAGCAAAATCAGTTTCTGCTTCAAAATCTCGAGTTGCTGTTAAAAAAACAACAGCAACCTCCACTTCCAAATTGGATCTAATGGTAAAAGCTAATTCAGTAGCTGCTGCAGCATGCATGGGTGGTGTAGGCGTATCGACTGCTGCATTAGTACCGAAGGTCGAACCTGGAAAGATTGATGCTCCAGTACTGCCAAAAATTGAACCTGCAAAAAATGCTTCAACAGCCTGTATGCCTTGTCCCTCAGGTGGTAGCCTCTCTTTGCCAAAGGTTGAACCAGGAAAGAGTGTTGTTGCTTATGGTATCGCTAAAGCGGTTGGACCTGCGAATACACGGCCTCTAGCTAATGGAAACCTGAAACTTGTGACGGCTGCATCATCTTCTAACAATCTTATGGCACCTCATTCAGAAGGATCTACAATGCCTTCTACTTCTGCCCCCTTGGCTTCTGCATCGAGGATGGTCTCCAATCAGAGAATTTCTGCAGCCTCTGTCCTAGCTACTGTATTACCACCAAAGCCTACTGTAGAAATCGTCACTTGCAAACCAAGTGGTGGACAGAAAGAACAAGCTCAGGGAGATGGAGCAAGCTCATTGGTTGCGATCCAGTCAAATAAAATGACCTTAACAAACTCAGAGATCAGCCGGGGAAACCAGGTTACACAGGCTCAGGCCCCTAATCTTTTGCCTAGGAAAATCCCAGTCATTCAGACTGCAGTTGCCATTAACCAAAATTTGGAGGATAAAGCATCTGATAAAACTGCAGTACCAACCATCAGTGGAGCTGGTACGCAATCTAAAGCCAAATGTGAAGTAAATAACAAGGTTGGTACGACGATCAAAGTGAGTAATGCATGCGGGAAACCTCCAGAGGTTGCAACTGTGGCAGGGACCGGACAGGGTGTTTAGCTCTTTGACTTTAGTGGTTTCAATTGTAATTTTTATTTAGAGGACTGAAAGAAAGATATTATGTAAAGTAGGCACAGTCCTCCAGTTCATGGTACTAATTAATATGAATCTCATATACATAAAATCTTCAGAATCTATAAAATACAGTTAGATTCGAATCTCAGGATGTTTAAAGGAGATCACTACCTCCTCAGCTTCTGTAGGTTTGTTCAGGGAGCTTTACAGGTGGGACAATGTAGCTACACTGTTTCTGCAGAGCTGGAGATGGACTGACACAAGCGAAGACTGATGAGGTTTGCTTCTGTGGTTTATTCTTCTTTAACTTGACACCAAACAAGAATGACCTTAGTGGAATCCTAGGCTTTCCAGCTGACGAGGACGAGCTATTGCTCAGAGATCTTGTAGTTGTCGCACTCAAGATCCCAAAATCTTCTTCTTGTTTGCATACAACTCTCTCCACTTCAGTTCTCAGAGCCTTCGCACGATCAAGGCCTGCTTGAAGTTCATTGAGGACCCTTTTGTTCTCCTGTTTCATGTTAAGTATCTCCCCATGGAACTTAGCAGCCTGGTAACTGCTTATTTCTGTACTGCTTACTTTATTACCAACTGATTGAGATGTGACCCTTGAAACTTCATCTTTGATATTGCAAAGTGTTGCATACCTTCCCTCGAGTTCATCTCTTAGAACTGCGCTGTTCTCTAACCACAACTGCAGCTCTGTCCGAATCTCTCTAAGGTGTCTATATATAGGCTTTGCCACTGATGCAAGTGCAGGGTTACTAATACTTCCTGCGTTATTCTGTTGCTTGCTCAGTTTCGATAGTTCTGCTTTCAGGTCTTGAACTGCTGTCTGATACTTCTGCAGCTGATGAACAGATGTACTAAATCTTAACCAGAACTCGATATTCTCCTCCAGCACCGCGTCAATATCTCCACGCACTTTTTCTTCCACAGTTGGAATTTTCTTTCTTAGGCTGTCATCAACGTTTGCAAATTTTACCTTAACCTCGTCTTCCTTGGTTCTTTCAGTTGTTCTCGTCAAGTCTCCTTGGCGATGTGGTGCTATGGAAATTGAAGAGTTAGAGCTGTGAGAAATCCTCATACTTTCAGACCGGTTTCTTTCTACTGGACGTGGAGAATCATCGCCGGGAATTCCTGGTTTCTGGCGTAACAAATGAAATCCCACGTCTTCGCTGGAAACAGCATTCTTCAGCTCTCTTAACTGCAATGCCAGCTCGAAGAAGCCGTCACGATTCTTCTTCTCAACTTCACTCAACTTTCTCTTCACTTCTCTATAGTCCCTTAGTACCGATGTGTATTCATCCAATATAACCTTCTCTCTTTTGTCCATGCCATCTGGTAACAACTGCCTCCAGTTTCTCCTCTCCTCGTCTTCAGCCTCTGTGCCAAAACAAGTGCTTTCTGTTTCTGAAAAACCACCAAAAGAGTCTTTTGTCTCCGATTTCTCTTCCTGGAACGATTCTTGATCTCTACTATGTCTGACAACAATGGCCTCTTTGATTTCCTCTGCACTCTTTATCTCTGTCTCTTTTGAGATTGAATCCAAATCCTCAGGATGATCTTCCTCTCGGACATCTTCCAGGTTCAGTCCATCTCCTTCGACATCTTCGTTCATTTTTGCGTCCTGTAACTTTCCAGCTAAGTCTTGAGCTGTGGTATTAGCTTCTGTCAAATGATTTTGAAGATTCTTGTTTTGATTTTCAACCCTTTGGAACAAGTTTTTAACTTTACTCAGCTCATTTTCAAGCGATGTTATCCTTTTCTTCATATCTATGGAGTCTGAAACAAGACTGGCCTTGTCCTCCTCTACACCGCGGATATGTTCATGTAACTCATCGGTCTCTGATCTTAATGTCTTTACCAATGCTATATGAGATGATTCTGTTGTTTCCAGAGAAACCACTTTCTCTACAAGCTCATCTATCTTCTCTGCAAACTCCACATTACTCAGGTTCTCACTCAGATCAACGTTACTCGATTCTTTCGCAGATTCATAACTTGATTCTTTAGCTTTCTCGGCTTCTTCTTCTTCTTCCTTAATCTCAAACTTGTTCCTCAGTGCTTCAAACCTCTCAGTTGCAGTATCAATCCTTTCCTTCTCAATTTCTGCATCTTCAGCAAATCGTTTCTGCGTCTCCTCAAGCTTAGCAATCGTCTCTTTACACGAGCTAAGAGCCGTGCTCGCCACTAGCGTCCTAGCTTCACCATCTTCGATCTCTTCGCCAGCTCCAAACTGATCTTGTAAACTACAAACTCTCTTATGCATTTCTGTAACTTCATTCTCTAAACTCCAATACCTTTCATAAGACTGCTCATAAGAACTCCTCACAAACTCCTTCTCAGTCTGCAGCACCAAGATCCCCTTATGAATCTTATTAATCTCCTCCAATGCCTCTTCTTTACTCAATCCCGAACACGCCAACGCAGAAGAAGATGCTGAACTTTTCATATCCTTAGGTCCCTTTTTCGACAAGACCATAAGAGATTGGCTCTTGAACTCTTTCTTGGGAATCTCAGGGACCTCTGGTATGTTAGTTCCACTAGGAATCAGATGAAGTTGCTTAGGCGGTTTCTCGGGATTGTT